CATCTGCTTGACCAACTATCCTTCCTCTAACAAAATCTGACAATTCGAGAGAACCTTGAGTTCTAGGCATGTTGTAGCACAAGATAATTAGTGTGAGGACCATTTTCATTTATATAGTGCTCTGTGAAGACAAATTAGTTAGCATAAATCAGTTAAATGACGAAAAATCGGTGTCTATTTACTTGTGACCACTCAGTGTATATACTATGCATATTTCTGGATGAGACAAAACTGGCACATAGGTAAACCACTATTACATAACCAGAGATTATAAGATGTGACGGGATGGAATGTAATGGAGAACAAGCAAAGAAGACAAGCAGCTTTTATGAACACAATTAAACAGTACTTATTTAATTCTTTCTGCAGGTTCCCATCATAGGAGGATTAGAAAACTAAAATTCTCTTTAATACATTTTTTACTGGTTGGCTATACATGACGATAAAGGACCACACATATTAGGAGGCCTTGTTGAATGAGATTTAAGAAGGCTTTACACACTATCTACTTTTGAAGAGTTGGAGCAAAAAGCTTTAGACAACGTCGTTAGTTAGCAGTAGAAAATAGATTCATTAAAAGTTTAAAACAAGCACATATCCAACCATTAAAATTGCAGATTTATTTCAGGGCTAACCACTCAATAAAATATTGAGATAAAAGTTCTAGATACCTACTGCCTACATTAATTGCTAAAGTGACGTTACGGTAGCATTCTGTTTGGTTGCAGCAAAACTATATTTCTCAAGTGTTGAACATATTCAAGCTCCTAAGCATCTGTGTACGTATGACGTTTAATATTCATTTAAGAAAGTAAAACTATGTAGCAGACACATACATTCGATATGTTTTAGCTTTTATGTTTTTTTATTTTTTACGCTATTTCTTTGCTTATCTAACACATCTGGAAGACACTTTTGTCTAGCAATAGTATTTACGAACATTGTTGTAAACATGCGTTGCGCATCACCTCTGATATCCAAATCTTCCTATATTATTCTGGTATTTTAATGATTGTAGCTCTACAAACTGTGTTCTAATATTGGATGCCTTCGGGCATTGTTCTTCATTTCACCCAAGATTAATATCTCTTGTCACAGTATTAAGACAGTCTAAGACTCATCTCTGCAGCCGCAGGCCTTCTGAATTTAACTATTCCCCCCAAATCTTCATAAGCTAAGACACTAGCTCCTTTAGTTTACAATATATTTAGTTTGAAATGCTTTCCAGTTCCATGTAGACGTACCATTAATACAGTATAAAGATTTTGCTAGTGTAATTTCAAGACATTAAATTCCTTTATTTGTCTAAGCCAAAGCATTTCCTTCTAAAAGCACATTCAGAAAAAGTATTCCTATGAATGAATGTTCTTAGAATATCATAATCAGCATTAAAGAGCTGTAAAGAATAGTTTCGTTCTATTTCGTCTGTTACACCTATACACGTGTTTAATTGTTTTGAGCCTCAATTACAGTATTAAGATTGTTATAGATGGATATTGAAACTATTTTCATTTGAACTGCTATTTACTTATGTTTCAAAATGTTGATGATATATGTCTTAATATTTATTTAGGATACATATGTTGTTTTTATTAGTAGTAGAATATATAATATACAATAGTATGTCTCAGAAAATTAAAACGCAGAATTTAATTACATATTGAAGTATTACTTGTAATGTCTTCAGAATTGCACACAAAATTACATAAAAATGTGTATTATTTGAATGAATCCTATCATAAGACAGGATATATCACGTGGCCTAAAATTGATCCTATTTGTAAGTGTATAGGAACGTTTGATCAAGCTTTCTTTATGGCAGAGAAAGAAAACTTACCATTGTTTATAATGCTTTGAGATCATATACCAGCATACGCCCAACATGAACAAGTTGTGAGACAAAGTCTATCTAACTAAATATGCCATGCCAACTTTAATCTTTATTTATTGAATATTATGATGGTTTATCTTCCAGGTCCTTGCGATCAAAATTATGATGTCTACACTTCACCACCACTAAATATTAAACACTGTCCAAACAGAGCCAAATGTGATGATAAGAGTGATGCAACAGGTCCAAGACGAATCTGTACCTGCGTGATGGGCTATCTGTTAGATGAAGATGACTGGGCATGTTACCGTAAGTTCGTAAATGTGAAATGGTTGATGATCTCAGAACTACTTGTGTTTATGTGTGTTTAAAATAACTTTTTTTCATTCACATGTCTACTAACTGAAAGCAATTTATTCAAAAAATTACAGTTTTTTTACAGGTCTCCTTCTACATGGGATTACATAATAAGTGTGAGAAAAAAGCTCTCTTGAAATGTTTATAAAAATTCGTCTATAAATTAAAGTTTCTTAAAAGATAGAAACTATTTACAATAATAAAACACAATGAATCACATAATCATATGTGCAATAACATGTTAATATTTCAATGCTCTCATGTTCTAAAAATTCACATGTTAAATGTAAAATATTTAAATTAGACAGTAGCAAGTTGTGTATTGCTGTTTTAACAATAACATATTAAATTTCTAATTACATCTTTCAAAAAAGATTGATCAGAAACATTACTTTTTTTAACAAGCATAAATGCTTTTATATCTCTATGTCCAACAAAAATGTGTTATAATAAATTAAAAATAAATATATGAAATGTTAGATATACTACTTAATTTAATTTAATGTTAAATTGAATTATTTTTAAAAGTCAGAGTTCATCGCAAGTTTGTTTATGCAACTGTTTACGTTGTGTGGTTCAATAGTTATGAATTGGTGATTGTTATGTTATTGCTTCATGTTACTAGAACCTTTTGAGTTTTTCGTTGTTTCAATTGAGTATTGTTGCTTCATAATATCTAGTAGTGTGTAAAATGTTCTAGACCTCTATCGGGTGTAAATACATGTCGAAAACGTAGTTCCATATAATCAGATCTAGATTGCACAATTATGAGTTTAGCCATTAAGAGCGTATAGTGGCGATTTTTAGACTGAAATTATCACAGATTGTATTGTAATAACAAAGTAGAGAAGAAATATTTTGTCTTGTCAATTGTGTTCTAAAACAATTGAACCAGCCTGTGTGGATTTTGACGAAAAAGAGACAATTATTTATAGCTCTGGATACAACTGTGATAACCAACAGTGTAACGAACATTTGTATATCCATTTGATTTGTTTTAAAATATCAATTCAAAACAAGTGGATTGTGTTCTGTTTGCTTATTGTGAAATTTATTGCCAACAAGTCACGGACGCATACTTTGAAGAACCTGGCCCGTGTATAAAACTGGAAGTGAAACTTGAAGTTCAAATCAGTCACTATTGAGATTTTAGAAGTATATGAATTACTTTGCAACATATAAGAAAACAAGCTTCTCTATTCTTGTACAGTAACTCTCATTTGTAGTTTGTCATTGAAATTTACTTTTTAAAACCCACAACAAGAAAAAAAAGAAATTCCTCAGCAAAATGGTCTATTCATAGAAAGTTTACACAACCAATAATTCTAAAGAACTTAGATATATAGTCTTGGCCAAAATGTATGTATATTTTGTAACAAGTAATATTATTATTATTATGGCGGAATACAAATACACTTAGCACTGACAAAATGAGAAATGAATGTTAAATTAAGCATCTAAATATGTAATTTGTACAATGAGACAGGTTTTATGGACATCAGGAACGATTTATTAGAAGAACAAACAATTTTATCAGATACCTGTAGAAAGATGTCTAATTCAGCATTTCACTTATACCAACAAACCTTTACCAAAACATATATTTTAACAAAATATAACCTCAAATTATCATAAATAGGGTCTTATATCAGTTAATGTTAAACATTCCGTACTTGATTGGTCCTCCTTATACTCTAATAATATCCACAAGGCATCGTGGCATGCTTTGATGAGGATATTGATATAATATAGCGTGATCTCATCCCAACTTGTCACTGTAAGGCGCTATAACTTAAGCTACAGTAGCTGTTTTAGAGTCGTGGTTAACAGTTTTCCGTCTCAGCTCTGCCCAACAGTTCACAATGGGATTACAATCTGGAAACTTTACTCCTAGTCGAGATAATCCTGTACATTATGTACACTGTTGAGTGGCATTGTCATTCTGGAACACAAAGTTATTGCCAAACTTTGCCCTAACATGTGGCAGAATATCTTCTCCATGTGATAGCTGTACGAGGTGCCTAGAGGACATGAAGACAAGTTTTTCTGCCATGATGAATATATGATGCCCAAACATGTACTGCACCACCTCCTGTGTGTTTCTTGTGGAAAAAACAGTCTTTCTTCATCTGTTCTCGAGGCAAATGACTAACACAAATCCTACCATCAACTTTAACAAACCATAAATAGGACTCATTTGAAAAAATGACGTATTGCCCATGTCCTAACTATACGATGGTATACTGTATTGCTTAAGTAACACAGCGATGAAAGTGAATTGTGATTAATATCGGTTTGTAGATAAACCTTCTTGCAAAATAACCTTGTTTGGTCAGCCTCCTATTCACTGTTCTTCAGGATTCCATGGAATGAATGTGCTCATGGCATTCTTGTCGTGTGGTGTTGCAAGACTTCTTTCGACCTTGACATGTTAACCTGATCAAAACACAGTCATCTCATATAGTGTCTACCCATAGACTTTCTTGGAACAATGTTTCCTGTATTCCGATGACGTTTCAGGATTCTGGACACAGTTCACTGGGAGTACCCTATTGGTTGGCAATGTCCTTTTGCTTCATATTATTTCTGGATAGTCAAATAATTTGATGATACCCTATTACTTCTGGCACATGATAATGCATGACTCTACACCTAGTACAGAGAAATTATTTGAACAAAACATTGGTCTGTTTCTAGACAGATTGTACCAAAAGCACACCCTTTTATACAAAACCAGTGTCTATGGGTGTGTATTGCTGCTCAAAACAACTTCTACAGACTACAATAGTAATTCGTACATGTTTGTTTGATCATACACTACCTTCTCTGTTACTACTTGGACATTTACTCAATAACTACTCCATGCTTGTAGACAATAACATCAATATAGAACATTATGCAATCATTTTAGCTGGACAAGACTGTATGATGATACAAGTATTGAAACTACCCAAATAAATTAATTATTTGCATGAAACATGCCAAAAAGCACGAAACAATCTCCTATGTCATCTTCAAAGGCGTGTTAAATCCTATGAAAATATTTACACACTATTTTGTATAACCTATGTTAGAGCTATATGCAAAGTTAAATGTGTATTTATGACATCTAACTAATAAAAAATGGGAAAATTATTGTAATTGGCTAACTCATTCTATAATGTATATTACACATGGCATAAATGTAGTTACTCCAGCTTAACTTGTCCAGCTTTGTTCTTAATGGTACTCTATTATGAACATAAGAGTTTTCAACATAGTATGAGTTGTAAAAGAAAACTTTTACATTCTCACTAAGAACTACATGACGTCTTGCTGGCTTACAAGTAAATCCTTTTCAGAGATTTTCTGTCAGTCAGTTGTTTTGTTTCTTTTGTTTAATGTTTAATGTCAATAAACAAACCACTCTATATTATTCAGTGAGCAATTTTGGTTTCTTAAATGATGTCAATATACCACAGCTGACTATTGGTGGATATCATCAGGGAATTTCTTTAACTACGTGGAATCTTCTTTTTCATGGCGATTTGCATCTAGGAATATATAATTTCTAACTTCTGAGTCAATCGAACTGTTCAGCATGATAGAGCACACTATCATCCATTGACTAGAAGTTAGGGTTAGTACAAGTGAATATGGCATTGGCATAAAGTACAGTAGGATGTTATCCATATAGTGTGCACCATTATTGGTACAATTTCCAGAATACAGAACATAGATAGCCCATTGTGTGGCTTTATATTTAACTACAAACAAACACTAAACCATAAACGGCAAGTAGCTGGTCTCTCAGTAGTTATCCTTTCATTCTGGAACCATGCACTGATTGGCTGCCTCAGGTGAGGATGGAGTAGAAATGATGACGTCATGATACCATGACGAGGCACCAGAGGGCATATTTCTAGGGAATGTTACGTGATATTTAGTTTAGTGTTACTCACAGAAGACATGTTGGAAGAGTAGTATTCCACCAGGATTTTTAGTTCCATGACGTGACACCAGAGGGTTCATTATAGGGATGGGTGCTGTTACCAAAGTTCCCTAGGCAGATCTATTAGGATACATAAGCGGATGGTGTTGCTAAGGTTCTTTTGACAGATGTTACTACTAGGTGGATTGTTTTACTGAAGTTGGTACTGATAGAGCAGATAGTGTTTCTATAGACAGGTGATGTTACTAGGTAGATTGTGTTGTTAAGGGCAGTGTTTATATAGGCAGATAATTCAATAGGATGATGGGCTCATCTTCTCTAATTGATATACATCCTGAAAAGTTTTATCCCACATAATGTTTCGTTTTTATACATATTGAATGAGGGTGTTAGTATAGCTGATTGTGTTTTAACTATCGATTTAGTACACATTTAATGTACTAATTATAGTTTCCATTTGTTAGACCAAGCATTATTGGACAGTGATGTTTTAGAATAAAACTTAAGGTTAATTGCTTCTTTCAATTACAATAAACCACTTTTGGCATTTGAAAAACCCATTAGCAGCCAATAAAGTTAAGGCACCAAAACCAACTAACCTTGAGTTAATTACGCAGGCCTGTGAATTTCAACTTCATCAAAGTTATTTTGGTTTTTGGTTTACGTTTTATAGGTAAAATGCTTATTTTTAATTCATTTCTGTAATTAATATATTGTATAACATCTATTCGCACTGTATGGGACGTTTATATATATATATATATCTCTAAATAATATACGATATTTTAAGGTTTAGATTTATAAGTTAATCTCTACAATTGTTCCTCTAAAGTTTAGTTTTAAAAGATGTACGAAAATAGTTAGGTTTAACCATTACTAGAAACCAATATTCATACCTTTCTGTAGATAATTCCACAAATATTTGTCAAGAACTTGTTTTTTCTTACTGAAGCTATTTGCATATAGACTGAAAGCTCAATAAGTAATATCCTTACCATTTCTTTTCTGTAGAACTTTTCATTTCGAAAAACGAACGTTTACTACAGATATGCAGTGTAAACTTTTTCAACTCTATTGCCTAATAAGTAGTTTGATGCATTCCAGCCGATGGCAGGTTGGCAAAGCTTGATCCTCGTGTAAAATTAAGTGATGTGTTTGTTTAAGGCTAAAACAAGTAATGTTTTTGTTTCTACAAAACTGACAGACTAAAGATTATGATGAAAGGAAGAACTCTGTCATAATTAAAAGTAAACTTGATAAACCGGATAAACAGAGAAAAATTTAATGAAAGTACAACGTTTCACCAGGTTAACCTAGCATCATCAGGTACGTCAACTACAATAAATGAATTGAAACTACAAATATATATAATAATACAGCACAAGGGTACATTGAACTTTGATTGGGTAAATTTAACAGTAAGGTATGATATTATTGATAGGGCTTGACTTCTTGAGGGTCAATGTCTGTAGTCAACAAAATAGAAAAATATAAGTACACTTTCAAAAATATAAAATATTATAACAACAAAATGTATAAATTAAATACTGTAACTTGAAAATTGTAAATAGAGGTAAAGTGATTCATAGAAAATAATATTAAAAAGACCTTTTCGAACATCAACATAGTTAAGTTAAAGTTAGAATAGATACAACTGGGTGCCTGAATACTTATTTATTTTAGGCATAAACTGTTTTATAAGCAAGGCTTCCTTAATTTTACGACGGCTTATATTTTTTTTTCTCTGCTAAGAATTTTAACATTATCAAGATGAAATGAATGACCATATTTAGACATATGTTCATGGACATGAGAAGGCGGTTTGTAATATTCTTTAACTCGGGTGGGTACTTGCCAGTAGGTTTCTTCAATTTTTCCAAATAAATAAATATATGTTTTGAAATGTAAAATAGTCATAAAACTAGTTTTTCTGAGAGTACTAACTGAAATCTCACATGTTTAGTTATCACTGAACATGAAATGTGAACAATTAATAATGCTGTTGTCAAAAAATGATTATGTTTGACTATAATGTAAATGTATGAATCCTTTATTCATTTATTCATATAGTGACATGAATTTAATACGATGTACTAAGATGTCTCGTGATAAATGCAATGTTCACATATTTTTACACAAATGAAAAATATAAACTTTAAATGAAACAATAATATGAAAACAATGTAGAAAATTCGTATGCAGTCTAATCCAGTATTTTATAAGTTAAGCTGTGTAAGTAAATAGTATATTTACTGTACCTTCAAGTTTTGTTAACAAATGTTTCAGTATCAGTGATACTTGTCATTTCTGTGTTTTCCATTGTTGTTGTAAAGTATTGTTACGTCTCCGTTCGTTAGTTAATTTTCCGTAAATTTCGTTCCGACGAAACTTTAGCGACACAAGTCCTTTATTAAATAAAACTGGTTTATTCTTTCTGAATACAACTTTGCAATACCCTTAATTTCCACAGTCGCGCTATAACAAACGCTATAATTCACAACGAACGTCTCACGTGCTCGACTCAACAATACTCTCTCTCTGTCCGCAGTTTAATTACACAGCATTACATTGTTCCCGTCGCTTCTTCGCCGGTCTTATATATACAAGAATACCCCATATTCATTAGTCTCCCGACGCTTCATGAACGTTCTAGAAGCGCGTGGCGTGTTACTAGCGTCACGTGACCTCCGCTGTCGTAACAGTATATTACCTAATATATAAACAGTAAATGTGTTGGATTTTTAAATATGAAAGAATAATCACTGGGTTTATAATTAAAAGTCCTTTTAAATTATGATAATCAACTATATATAGCAATATTGATTTATTTGTTATTGAACTCTGCTAAATACACAAATGTTTTCGGTTATGTTCATTTGCAAAAAAAAAGTGTTTGATACTTTGGACTAATAAGGTTAAAAGGCGAAGTTTGAAAAATACAGAAATAGAATTTATGGTTTGTCAACAACCTTTAGTCTTCCATTTTTATAGAAACAAAAGCATTATTTGTTTTAGCTTTAAGCAAACGCATCACTTAATTTTACATAAGGATCAGGCTTTGTCAACTTGCCATCAGCTGAAATGCATCAGACTAATTATTAGGCAATATGGTTAAAAAAATTACACTGCATATCTGTAGTAAGCATTAGATTTTCTAAATGAAAAGTTCTGTACAAAAGACATGTTAAGGATATTACTTATCGAGCTTTTAGCCTATATGCATATAGTTTTTACTCAGGGAAAAACAAGCTACTGACAAAGATTTGTGAAAAATATTTATAGAAAGGTAAGAATAGTAGTTTTGTAGTAATGGTTAAACTTAACTATTTACGTTGATCTTTTAAACCTAAACTTTAAAAGAATAATTATAGAGATTAATATATAAATCAAAACACGAATTATTGTATTTTATTAAGAGATTTAAATAGATGTCCTTTTCAGGGCGAATAGATGTTGTACAATATATTAATTATAGAAGTGAATTAGCAATAAGCATTTTTCCTATAAAACGTCAGAAAATGTAAATCGTATGTTATGCACATTAAATATATAAATGGAAACTGTAACTAGTACATTAAATATGTACTAAAGCGATAGTTAAAACATAATCAGTTATATTAACTGCCTCGTTCAATGTTTATAAAAATGAAACATTATGTGTAATAAAACTTTTCAGGATGTGTATCAATTAGAGAAGAGAAACTATAGAACTAATGAATTAGTGAAGTGTTTTATACATAAAGCTATGGACAATTGTTAAAGAACTAGACTATAGTATTTGCCTCATTAAACCAATACATAGATGAAGATTATATGTGTGATAAACCTGATATATGTAATACAATATGTTATAATAGTTGTTTCGTTAAAATAATGGTTTTATTTGTAACTGTTTAGGACATTGAATTAAATCTAGACATTGATGACGTAATTACATGTTTAGATACATTGAGACACTCTATGATGAGCTCATCATCCTATTGAACTATCCACCAATAGAAACACTACCCTTAGTAACAAAATCCACCTAGCAATACCATTCACGTGTAGAAACACATCTGTTCTAGCAGTATTAACCTTAGTAACACAGTCTGCCTGGTAATACCATCCACCTACAAAACCTTAGTAACACTATCTACTTATTGAATCTTAATAACACCGTCTGCCTATAGAACCTTGGTAACAACCCCCCCCCCCAGTCATGCGCCCTCTTGTGCCACTTCGTGGAACTATGACTACTTGCAACACACTCCTCTACCCACCCGCCCTCTGGTGAGTAACACTCGAAGTATTGTGTCAAGTAACATCTCCTAGAAACACTCTCTCTAGGCCACTTCATGGCACTATCATTTCATCGTCTCTACCACCTCCCCTCACCCTGAGGCAATCCATCAGTGCATGTGTCCAGAGTACAATCATAACTACTTCTCTGCTTATGTTGTGAATGCTAGTTTCCTTTGTTTATCGCCCCGCATGGCCAGGTGGTTAGGGTGCTCGACTTGTATTCTGAGGGTCGCGGGTTTGAATCCCCGTCCTACCAAACATGCTCGCCCTTTCAGCCGTGGGAGCGTTATAATGTGACGGTCAATCCCACTATTCGTTGATAAAAGAGTAGCCCAAGAGTTGAAGGTGGGTGGTGATGACTAGCTGCCTTCCCTCTAGTCTTGCACTGCTAAATTAGGGTGGGCTAGCGCAGATAGCCCTCGTGTAGCTTTGCGCGAAATTCAAAACAAACAAACAAACCTTTGTTTATATGTATGGATAACTGTCACTCTGGTTTGGAAGCAGTTTCACAATATGAAAAATAAGACTTTGAGACACTAATCATCACATCGCAAGATCCTACTGTAATTGTTCAGTTCAAATAGATTTTGTTATGGGAGGAACATCTAAATGTCTTCTTTCAGGTCCAGCTATGGCTCATGAACATTCTGGAGCACTTCAAGTTTTGTATTTTACATTGTTTTAAAATAGTAATTTCATGATTTTTTTTCATAGCCAAAATATTACAAATTTTAGTTATCATGTCTTTTTTATAGTATATATGTCTATAGAGTTGAAATGAATTAGTTATAATTTATATAGATATCAAGAATTAAAGTAAAATCAACCTTGTAGGTATATTTCTTCATAATTGTTAATATTTTTATTTCTATTGTGATTATTCATTGTATTATTATTGCTTTTTAATTGATAATACGCACTGAATATAATTTTTTTGTTTAATATTACTCTAACTAGAATTCGAAATTCATACAGTTTTGGCTAAAATGTTTGCATCCTCTCTTATATTGATGTTATTGTCTACATGCATGGAGTAGTTATTGAGTAAATGCCCGAGTAGTAACAATAAAGGTAGCATATTATCAGACAAACATGTAGAGTTGTTATTCTAGTCTGTATAAGTTGTTTTGAGCATTTTGTCAAAACACACACATATAAAAATGTATAAAATGTGTGCTTTTTCGAAACTCATCAATGTTTTGTTCACACAAGTCAGAACAGCAAGATATAAACCAATTTCTATACAATGTCTAATTCTCGTGTTTGATATTTGTGTTATTATTTATATTTGTGTGTGTGTGTGTGTATTTTTGGAAGGAGTGAATAGAATTATTGAACGATCAATTATATGTTATTGCCTCGAAAGTGGATTCCAGAACTTACAATATTAACTGAGCTTTTATTATTTTGTAACTTTTAAAACCTAAAACATAAAATTAATTATTTTATTAGCTCGACCTCCACCTTCATCCACACCAAGACCAATCCCAACAATGACTCCTGTAAGTATACATGTCTTTTGTTTCGATTGAAAATAAGAACTTTGTCTATTTGTATTTAACATAGGAAAAAACAAAAATTAAATAAACTGAGAGCATATGTGGTATTTATGAAATAATATCGGTGTAGCATATGTGAATATCATATACTGATTATTCATACTTATACATCACTGTTATTCTCTATTTTATACCACTGTTATTCTATATTCTACATCACTCTTACTTTCTATTCCACATAACTATTATTCTCCATTCCACCTTGAAACATAAAGAAATATTTTCATTTTATCTTGATATATGGTTGCTGTAGAGCTGTTAACTGATTCTAGATCAACTAATATGTTAGAGAACCGTAGTCACTGATCTCAATCATTTAGGTTGATTTGAGACATCACTTTAAAAAGTGTATGATCATAAAATTTATTCGTAGCTGCTTGTATTATAAAATAGATAAAGATTACAACTTAATGAAAGCTAAAGAAATAGACAGCACATAAATATTTCAGGACCTAGAAAATTACTGTCAGAAACATTTTGTAACTGGCACGAGGAGAGTTGCTTAAACCTTCACATTTACAAGCATACACATTGCTTAAACCTTCACATTTACAAACATACACATTGCTTAACCCTTCACATTTACAAACATACACATAAATTCATATTAGGAAAATCCAAGCATAGCTAAGATGATAAAACAAAATCTAAGGAAGATCACAGATACCCACCAATGGTTTTCTTGGTGTTTTGAATTATAATGAACTTTGCCATGACAGATAATATCCTGAGTTACTTACCTTTAACATATGATGAAATACACAAGAGTTTCTTTCTGTTTACTTATAGGTAGAAAAAACAGTGGCCATAGTCTTGACTCGAACAGCTAGTACAATCTTACTCGTCATGACAGGTTTAACCATGGTCTTGTTCCTGTTATTAAGGTAAGGACTGTAAAATAGTGGTTATAGTGTCGACTCGTACAACTAGTACAATCTTACCCATCGTGACAGGTTTAACCATGGTCTGTTAAGATAAGAACTGGCTTTAATACAGTGGCTACAGTATTGACTCGAACAGCTTGTACAATCTTAACTATGCTTTTGTTCCTAGATACAAGTTATAAGACACTAGAAGTTGGTGCAACAAATTGAGATGTAAAAAGGTAGGACTACTAACTTTAATACAGAGATCGTTTTTTTACAGGAATCAAAATAAACATTTAACCCTTACAGGAAAACCTACTCTATTTTGTTCTGATTAAATAGAACAATTACATTTCACGTATTTAAAATTGTCTTTCACATTGGTGAACTTCATAGTTATTGTGAAGTGTAACACTTAATTTTTAAGTTAAATTATAATGTTTCTTTTATTTTAATTATACTAAGGTATGCATTATAGTTACTTGTTAATGTTACAAATAGAAACCTCTGTTTTGTTTTACAATATAGATGAGGTTTGTTTTAGTTATTAACTAATAAAAAACTAGATAACATTTCAATCTCACGGATAAGACTGTCCTTGATCCTGTTTCTGTTGCTAAATCAAACAAATTATGATATATTGTAAGTCTAGAGTTCATTACTTTATTAAATCAAATTGTAACACACACCAAATTGCTTTTGTAAACTAAAGTTTAAGTTTGTTATATTTTTCCACTTAAATTAATATCTAAGCTTAAACTAGTTTATTTGGATTAATATAGGTTTAAGTTTGATCATCATTCACATTCTTCCAGTGAATATTTGTGCTTTGTCTTATTTACTATTCAATTTTTTCTTTAGCTCATGTCAAAGCAAGTTTTAATTCTGTATTGAAAGAAAGATCTACGCTTGGCCTTATGTTTTGCGATAAATCAATATTTAAGCTTAACCTTGGACCCCTCGTCAGATTAAGGTCTCAGTATGACTTATCTCTTAATGGGTTTCTCAAAGATCTGAACTAGATCTAATTCCTTTCCATAAATGAAATATAAAGTTTGTTATGAGACAAGGGGATAATTTCCGCCACTCCAGCTCTGCTGAATTTATATAGGATAATCGAAACGTTCTTCACAAAAGGAAAAAGGAAAAAGTAAAGTTTTTCAAACATCATTCTTTTCAAATCTAACATTAAAATGCAGTCGGTTTTAAATAGTGTGATTGCGCAAGTTCTTCTTACCACATTTAATTTAATATTTGCTAGTAGTTGATCAATATAATGTTACGTGAATTAACTATCAATTTTTCTACGGTTATTAATGAAATACCAATTGATTAGACCATGCTGTACATATTCCTTAAGGTTATATACATGTCGGCTTATCTCATTTCCCTGCTGTATTTGATCAACTCCTCCAAGCAGTAATCACTTACTCACCAGTTTATCTTGGACTCTTGAATACAGCCTTTAGGAATGGAATAATTGCTCAGTTTTTCTTATTCATTATACTGTAATACTAAGGACAGAGAATGTACAATAAGCTGCCATAAGTTTTGAAATGACGTCACTATCTCATTCCCTAGCTAAGGATCCAAACATGGTCTTCTTTCTTTGTTCAATGAAGTTGTAAACTTGTTCTTATATTGTGATTGTTTGTTATTTTATTCGATATATTATAGACTAAATTGTAGTGACCATAACGAGTTTTTAGAAAGCACTCGCTTCAACATTCCATGTCCGTTCAATCAATTATATCGAACTTTCTAATCCAGTATTATGTCTGAGGTAATAATATTTTAACTTAGAAAACCTTCTAGTATCTTATTATTATTTCCGTATCATGACTTTAGATTACAGGACTTTATATTCCCATATTATATATATGTAACATTTAGAACGAACTGATTACATTGTTAATATAAATATTTATATTGTTATGACCACTCAAGAAAAAACTTGATAGTTTTAAATACATGCAAATCTCAAATATAATATATATATATACATGATTTTGTAAATGCATGTATACATGAGATATGTTAGTAATGATTTTCCAATTTAAGAACCAAGCTTTGTAAACATGTATTATATTGTCAACGTTTACAATAAATCTATGTATAAACATATAGATCCTACGTGGTTTCTTACTATTATGAATAAGCTGATATGGGTGAAAAAGGCCACAGCGATCCACATCTACGGCCACCTTTCACCGTCTACCGTCAGTATGTCTCTTTGTTTTAGAACAAAGACATATTGAGCTATCTGCCGTGCCCACCGTGGGCAATCTAACTCCGGGTTTTAGCATTGTGCGTCCATATATTTACAGCTTTCCCACCAGGGGGAAAATAAAGCAGATTACTGTCGATAAGTAAACTTTACATCCTGAAGTTCGTTTCCAAACCTACATTAGTCACATATTTGTATTAGCAGTACAATGAAGTTTAAAGTTTAAAATAAAGTGAGCGCTTATTTGCATGAACGTAAAATACCCAGATATATGGTATTAAAGTGTTAGCATTAGTCACTCTAAATATTAGCATAAAAAGTTGTGCGCGCTACGTATAATCACATAATAGTGCTGTTGAAATGAAACATTTTTTCACACACGTCGAAAGTTTTCTTTCACTTCTTCGTAACACTCCACCCTTAAACGATGACTTATCAATTGCTTATATTTTCCTAATTTGTGACAAAATAATTTTTCTATTTAATGCTTGAAAAGAATTAAGCTTATGGTTTCAAAACGCGATTTATTATCATTTCTTGAATATTTAATAGTAGCTATTCTGAACTGTTATTAAAATTACAAAAAAATAAAATAAAAAATAATTCTTCAACTGCAGAAAATGTTACAGTAAAAGATATTTTTGTTCTTAACATAGATCACTCAAGGTTAATAATATTTTTGGTAACTATAGAACACGTGAAAACATCTTATAAATCCATGCAACAGTTATATAACTTTATTAAAGCTGGATCGACAACTTTAGGAGATAAGCTTTACTTATCATCCCCTTTGGTCAAGTTATAGTAACTTAATTAATTTTTTATTTTCATTCTTAATTCCCTTCATTGCATCTTTAGTTCATTAAGAACAACTGTTTTCCTACAACTGGTTTTAGACAGTAAATGAATGATCTAGATGTCGGCCATTGTGGGCTTAAGCACCCATATCTGCTCTTAATATCTTCAATGTTAGAAAAACACGTAGGTTCAAGAAGTCTTGATAGAAATGAATAAAAACCCTATAACCCGAGCGCTTTCGAAAGGTGGATCTTTCTTCTCCAGTTTGCTCTAAATATCTAATTTTCTTATTTCATAAGATAGACTTGCGAATAAAATTCACCTTAGTCTTGAGGATAAGTGCACAAAATGGACAGAATCGCGCACTTTGTGGTAAAAGCATGAAACTTGGTATACATTTGCATCATGCCAAAAATGTAAATTTAGATATAGTGCTATCCCAGATTTCGCTTGTTGTGGCTTTGTCGGCCATTTATCAAATGGCGGACTCGCTCTGAATAATATATCATATCTCGGAAACTAAAAGGCCTAAATGAAGGCTCAACAATGCTTTTTCTGAATTCAACGATACCGAAAAAGCATTGTTCAGTGTGCCACTCCACTATATTTAACATTTTTAAACATAAATTTGCTACACATATTTTCTATTTATGAGAAAGGGGGTTGAGGAATTATACAATAAACAAAATACATAATACACAAAAATAGAATACGCAATATGTCAACTTTATAGGGTAGTAAGTGGTAGGTCAACTCCCAATATTCGGGGAGGAAAAGGTAGGTAAAGAATTAATGGTGGGTGCTGTTCACTAGTTGTCTTCCCTTTAATGAGTTAGAAATTACGGACCAAAGCACCAGATAACATTTTGTGTAGTTTTGCGCTAAAAGTTTAGAACAAACAAATACAATTACTTGTCACCACACTACAAAGAGTTCTTAATTATACGAACCTACGTCTCTTTTTATCTTAAACGAGTGTACTGTGAGAAATGATCCTTTACCTTTCTATTTGAACTATGATGTAAAACTGTATGGTTTTGTGTGTATGTGTAGAAATTTTGTTTCAAAGATGTTCTTCTGAATGTTTGATAATGTTGTTTTGATTATTTTGTTAATAAAAATACTGTTCTGTGAATGAATAGAAAGACCCCTTTGTATTTTCTGTGCACAACGTTTTTGAAACTATATGGTAAAGGATAATAAGAAGTAAGTGTACAAGGTCTTTAGTGAGTTTTCTTCATTAACGGAAAGTTTCAACGATTTTCTAGGTGAAGATGCAGAATGTTGAAAATGACAATAAGTTGCAAGGTGTAGTTGCAGAATGTTGAAAATGGCAATAAGTTGCTAGGTCTAGTTGCAGAATGTTGAAAATGACAATAAGTTGTTAGGTCTAGTTGCATAATGTTGAAAATGACAATAAGTTGCTAGGTCTAGTTGCATCATGTTGAAAATGGCAATAAGTTGCTAGGTCTAGTTGCAGAATGTTGAAAATGGCAATAAGTTGCTAGGTCTAGTTGCAGAATGTTAAAAATGACAATAAATTGCAAGGTGTAGTTGCAGAATGTTGAAAATGGCAATAAGTTGTTAAGTCTATTTGCAGAATGTTGAAAATGACAATAAGTTGCAAGGTGTAGTTGCAGAATGTTGAAAATGGCAATAAGTTGTTAAGTCTATTTGCAGAATGTTGAAAATGACAATAAATTGCAAGGTGTAGTTGCAGAATGTTGAAAATGGCAATAAGTTGTTAAGTCTAGTTGCAGAATGTTGAAAATGACAATAAGTTGCAAGGTGTAGTTGCAGAATGTTGAAAATAGCAACAAGTTGCTAGGTTTAGTTGCAGAATGTTGAAATGACAATAAGTTGCAAGGTGTAGTTGCAGAATGTTGAAAATGACAATAAGTTGCTAGGTCTAGTTGCAGAATGTTGAAAATGACAATAAGTTGCAAGATGTAGTTGCAGAATGTTGAAAATAGCAAAAAGTTGCTAGGTGTATGTGCAGAATGTTGAAAATGACAATAAGTTGCTAGGTCTAGTTGCAGAATGTTGAAAATAGCAACAAGTTGCTAGGTCTAGTTGCAGAATGTTGAAAATAGCAACAGGTTGCTAGGTGTATGTGCAGAATGTTTAAACTGGCCTAGATCTGCTATGGATAGGTACAAAATGTTAAAACTGGCCACAATTTGCTAGGAGAAGATGCAAACTTTTTAAATGACAATAATTTGCCGGTATTATGAGTTTAATTGTTTTTACAAAATAAGTGTCAGGCAACCAGTCATGTGGCTTGATATGGAAATGTCTAACACTTAAATCCGTTTTCACATATCCTCCTGCTTATTTGGAGTTACAGAACCTATAGTTCAATATATGACCAGTAAGCGTTTGGTAATAAGGCGTATGATCACCTCAAATACTAATATGACTCGTGCAGTTGATGTGTGGCAACCTTAAAATGAGTTAGTCGATGAGTTTCTAGAGAAACACAGCTCATTCATTCATCACAGTTGATTCCAGTTCATCAGCACTGCTTAGAGGTAAATCACGTGCTGCCACGTGTCTTTCTGGAGCATCTCACATGTGTTTAATTAGATTCAAGTCCAATATACTACCTCTCCATATTGTATGACATTCATAGTGCTATGTCATAGTACATAAAAATCTATATGGTTACAAGTACCAATACTTCCCACATTCGCCATGCGCGTGTCTTTTCTCCTTGATATTGGGATTGAATATGATCACAGGCGTTCTCCAGATATGTACTTATCTCGTATCTAGCTGCAATGCAAAGCGCGAGTTTGGAGCAATATGTTCGCCGTTGTTGTTGGACCAATTCGGACTGTTTTGAAGCGATGAATTAGGGGAATCGCACTACTAGTCTTCTGACATAAAGGCCATCTCTTATGAAACCTATTTCAGGCAGTTTGCATGCTGATTTCTCTTCCATTTGTTGCTGTGGACCACTGACTCAATTAGAAAGTCTGAGGTCTGCTGGTTGCTTCAAGTTTAAATTTTCTTGCGAGGTTGTCGGCAGTGGTCTACCCTGTTCATGTCCCCGTGCAATAAAATTTGAAATTAACTTCTGGTCAAAACAAGCTACCTGCATGGATAAGAACTGAAATATATACCTGTAATAAGCATAGTTAATTAAGTATGCTTTTCAAACTATATTACAGATAATGATTAGAATGCATTGTTTCATCATTTGGGTACCTTTGCTGCTAACGATATTTTTAGCCTTAAACCCAATAATATCTCACGAGATTCAGCCAGCCCAGGGTGCTTAGCTTTGTTCTTAATCTATATATTATACTAACAATAGATAATAACCATCATAATGAAATAACAATTATTAGAAACAACAAGAAAGAAAAGTAGCTATATTAGATATTTTAACCAACACCCTTATACTAACAATAGATAATAACCATCATAATGAAATAACAATTATTAGAAACAATAAGAAAGAAAAGTAGCTATATTAGATATTTTAACCAACACCCTGTGTCCACACTGTATTAAGAGTTTTATTTAGGCCTATGTCCAACATGAACTACCACAAAAGCATATTTAATTCGGTCAACTTAGTGGATTTAGGTTAGGCATAAATCCATAAACTAAGCTAAAAGTGTGAAATAATCTTTATAGTGAAAAATAATAAGATCAAAATTATTAAAATGTAGAATAATAATCATTATAAAATAATAAACATTTAAAATGAGAAATACTGAAACTAATAAATAAAAGTAGTTGTATTACATATTTCAACCAACACTGAGGTAAAATTATCACATGTATAAACTATAGTACAAATTGTACTTGGCTGGGCAGCTTAAAGTTCTGGCCAACCTGTTACTCCTCAACATGATGAAAATGTCCAAATGTCTATGTTGTGTACCTAACATGTTCCACTATCACTCTGGATCACATGGGTTTTCCTTCACTTTCATATAAAACTGAAATGTGCATGTCAGATCACATGATCAGCAACTTAACTTTTGTTTGCATATAAACGAACATAGGAAGCTATTGACATTATTTAATGACAGTAGTTTTACCTTGACACAACTAGAATATGGAAACTTTGATCATCCCTTAATTCTCTTGAGCATTATATATAAAACTGTAACAAGTTAGTATAAAAAGCACAACACTTTGAAAGACTATGTATGTGTTTTAGGTATACCTAAACCACATCGGGCTATCTGCTGTGTCCACCGAGGGGAATCGAAACCTTGATTGTAGCGTTTCAAATCCGAAGACTCACTACTGTCCCACCGGGGCCATTTCAAAAACTAATCTTTAGTGTTAGCGTAGAAATTAATCATGATCATAATACACTTTATGTACTAGAGTACATAGAAAACTTAATCTTGTGATGATCAGATCGTACGGAATCATCATTTATATTCCTTTGTCGTCGACTATTTTTTTTTGCATTGTAATTCCAATAACTTCACATAAGATTAGACTAAAATAGGAAATTAAGTTTAAACGAAAATGTGATTTGCTAGACCATCAATAAGGCTAAATATTTATACAAGTTCAGTATCACTTAAGAAAATAGACTAGAGAAATACAAGTGAAAATTATTTTATTAAAGATAAAGTTCTGTACATTATGGAAGATCTAGCTTAGAGCCTGTCAATATTTTCTGAGGTTTTTTATAGTTTAATTTATCTGCATTCCAATTTTTCTTTTGATTGTTTACTTTTCTATGAAAATATGTTTGGATTTCTATGATAATGTGAATAATAATTAGAATCTTGTTTAGTTATCGTAATTCGTTTGTTAATGTTATTTTTTTACTGGTATAATTTTTGATTATCATTTAAACATTATGGTTTCTCCCTCTTTTACCTTACCCTCGGTAGTTTTGGGTTAAGTCTGAGAGCTTATGACTCTAAAAATCGGGTTTTTATACTCAAATTTGGCACATCATAGATAGCCCATTACATAAGCTATGAGGACGTGTTTCCACTGTTTCCAATGGTGTTAACCCTTCATTAAATTTGAAATATGGGTTGATTGTTTTCAACAAATTCTGATGAGAAAAATGATGTGAAAGCATTAGACATCTTTATTTTTCTAGAAATAAGTAAAGATAGAAGTTAATAAATTTTGCGCTTTGTCCTACATGTATTTTCGAAAAAAATTGGTAAGAGCACTGATCTTCTGAACTACTTCAGTTTCCTGATGTATCTAGAGGTAAAAACAACACTATGAATTTGAATTAATTCCTCCGCTCCAAATAGAGCTTGACATATCAGTATGTATATATACATACATTGTTTATTGTTCAACATGAGTTTACTAACGAAGGGCACAATACCTTGAATTCAGTTGAATCCAGATCATTGTATAAAACAAAATAACCCTTTTATTGCAAAATGGTGAAATAAATTTAATGTTAGCGTTTTTTATTGTTAATGATTGTTACAATGAAGTCTACTTTGACGTATTTCCTTTACATAACATAAGGCCTGTTACTATTTTGAGTATCTTTTAGATTAAAAGTAATTTTACCTTGTTAGTTTTTACGCAAAGCCCTTCTAGTTTTTGTATATCTTAATAACGACGGTGTTTCTTTTTCTTTTCTTTGCACAATGTTTATGACATAATCTTATCATAATAATTGGGTTTTTGTCAAAGTTGTCATTAAATATGGTGTTATTTCACTATGTTCCCTATAATAAGCTCTAATATATTTAAACAACATTTTTAACAAAGTAAGTTTCTATTTTTTAGGATTTTCACTGTTGATCGAGTCATACAAATGAATATGGAGTTGGCAATATTTCTTGCCCATATCATGCTCATATTCCCAGCTGATACATGCACAACAAACAAGGTAGGTGGAAGGAAATTTCATCTTCAACTTTGTTATTCAAGTTTGGATTATCAATATTCTCTCTTTCTACACTTTACTTGCAATCCTAAATGTCCGGAAAACATAAAGGAAAACCGCTAAACCAAAACCGTAAAAGGTCACTCAAATTATAACATTCGTCTTATATTTTACTGCAACTTTAAAACAACAATTAAAGTGTTAAACTTATTAGAACTTCTTTATTAAGCTTTTTTTTTTCCAACTCTTTAAAAATCTTAATAGAAACAAAGTATCTACATAGAAGTTTAAGTGTCTTCGCCGTAATATAACTGTGCTGTCACGAGTCGAACTAATTTTATAAATAGCCACCGCTGATGAAATATTACACGTATTAAAGCTCGGAACCTTTATCTTCAGATGATACCAGAGCCATTGAAACATTGTACAATGTTTCTCTACGATTAAAACATTGTGCGGTGTTTCTCTACCATTTAAACAATGTTTCTCCACAGTTGTGGTTGTTAAAAAGCTTTTCGCATATCTCTATATTCACTTCAGTTGTATACAAGGTATATAATTTGTTTTTTGTAAATCTATGCCTAGCGAAGACAGGATCCCTGTAACGAAATAGATGAACATCACAATTTGTGTGATTAGTGATAAATATATATATATATTTGTGAAAAGCAGGATAACATACATACCTTAGTACCGAAATGGTATTTTCTAATTGCATCAAGAAGGGGTTGGAAATAATTAAATGTCAGACAGGCGCATGTTGGTACAATGATGCAAAACTTCTCTGTAACTTTTTTAAAAAACTGTTTTTAAGGATGCTCATTGTGGTGAATATAACGCTTATTGAGAAAATAAAAGTTATTTTGACCTCTTCCAGTTTTGTGATAAATGTTCAATAGGTTTAATAATCTTGTGTCAAGATTACTGATGGAGTGGGAAATACCACGACCTCAAAGAGAAATTATGAAGCATTGGATATTTTGTGTTGATTTTTAAAACAATCTTTTTGTGTGTAATATCTCTCTTGGACACTTGAGATATAGATGGTTGAAACACAATACAGCACTTTTCAAATTGAATGGGCAACTGATATTATAAACACTTATAGTTTTTAAAGATCAAACTGTAGTTTTATTATATCTGTTATAATTCCTGTAAACCACAGAATTTATGCCTCAAATTAAAGCAACTTTGAAGAAAAAATGTTTTCAGCCTAATCCAATCACAATATTTGAAGGAGCGAATTGACTGTACCGATCACTTGAAAAACAAACAAAAAGGACAACTTTTTTACCACTATTATATTTTAATTGATTCCTCGTTGGAAAGCAATATTTGTATCACCATCTGGAAGTTGCCCATCAAGCATATGCCAACCTCTGATAGTAAAGGTTATTTCAATGTAAAAGTTTACCAATTTGTATTTTGAGAGCATATTTTTTGAAAAGCCAAAAACAGGTTTAAATACTGCTTAATTTATTCATCATTAAAACCCACTTGTAACCTTGAAGTATATATGATATAAAAAATGGAGAAGTATGCAAGATAAAGTTAAACCTTGTATTCCTCCATCAATACGATATTTAGTGTCTTTATATTAAGAACGAAAAATGTAAACGAATAGCGAGTTTTCATGTTCTATATAAATCACAGTGGGGACAAACCGAACTATAAAGTGATTAGTAGTTGTTAGTTATATGATGTGATGATATGATTTATCTTGTCCTTCGCAGATTTTTAGAGTTAGTTACAATGGCTGTGGTATGATCTGAACTATAAAGTGATTAGTAGTTGTTAGTTATATGATGTGATGATATGATTTATCTTGTCCTTCGCAGATTTTTAGAGTTAGTTACAATGGCTGTGGTATGATCTGAACTATAAAGTGATTAGTAGTTGTTAGTTATATGATGTGATGATATGATTTATCTTGTCCTTCGCAGATTTTTAGAGTTAGTTACAATGGCTGTGGTATGATCTGAACTGTAAA